TGTGAACATAGTCGACGTCGAAGTTTCTTGTTCTGCATGTTGTGTGCGTTATACCTGCTCAAAAGTCGTCTCATATGGGCATTGGGAACTAGTTCGCTTCAATAGTATTCAAGTGAGATGATATTATAGAGAGATAGAGGGTGCACACCGATGAAGTCGATGTAACTTCATTTGCCTATTTAACTCGTTATATACCCTGCAGAGTCGTTTTATACGGTAACTGTTATCGTATCTGCTTCAACTGTATGCATGTCAGATGCTTGACGGCAGAGTTACAGTGAAAACATAGCCAAAGTCGAGATTTCTTGTTCTGCAAACTGTAAGCGTTATTTCCGCTTGGGAGTCGTCTTATATGGTCAATGCAAACTCGTCTGCTTCAATAGTGTCCATGTGATATGATAGGATAGAGAGTTAGTGAGTCGACGATGAAGTCGATGTATCCCCATTTGCCTGTTGCACTCGTAATATACCCTTCAGAGTCGTCTCATACGTTCACTGCCATCGTTTCTTCTACAATTATATGCATGTCAGATGCTTGACGGCAGAGTTACAGTGTAAACATAGTCGAAGTCGAAGTTTCTCGTTGTGCAAGTTGTGTGTGTTATATCGCTCGGAAGTCATCTCATATGGGCATCGCGAACTCGTCTGCTTCAATGATATCCATGTGAGATGATAGGATAGAGAGATAGAGTGTGCACACCGATGATTTCGATGTATCTTCATCTGCCTATTGTACTTGCTATATACTCATCAAAGTCGTCTTATATGATCACTACGATCATATCTGCTTCAATTGTAAGCATGTCAGATGCTAGACTGCAGAATGACAGTGTGAACATAGTCGACTTCGAAGTTCCTTGTTCTGCAAGCTGTGTGCGTTATACCTGCCTGAAAGTCGTCTTGAATGGTCAATGCGAACTTGTCTGCTTCGATAGTGTCCATGTGAGAGATAAGGTAGAGATATATAGTGTGTACGACGATGAAGTCGATGTATCTCCAATTGCCTAATGTACTCGTTATATTCCCTTTGAAGTCATCTCATACGGTCACTGCCATCATATCTGCTCAACTGTATGCATGTCAGATGCTAGACTGCAGAGTTACAGTGTTAACATAGCCAAAGTCGAGATTTCTTGTTCTGCAACCTGAGTGCGTAATTCTCGCTTGGGGGTCGTCTTATAAGGTCGATGCGGACTTGTCTGCCTCAACAGTGTTTATGTGAGGAGATAGGATAGACATATATAGTGTGTACGACGATGAAGTCGATGTATCCCCATGTGCCTATTTCACTCATTATATACCCTTTAAAGTCGTCTCATACGGTCACTCCCATCGTATCTGCTTCAACTGTATGCATGTCAGATGCTGGACTGCAGAGTTACAGTGTAAACATAGGCAGAGTCGGAGTCTCTTGTTATCCAAGCTGTGTGCGTTATTCCTGCTTGAAATTCGTCTCATATGGTCAATGCGAACTTGTCTGCTTCGATAGTGTGAATGTGGGATGGTAAGATAGTAAGATATAGTGTGCACAACGATGAAGTTGATATAGCCCCATTTGCCTGTTGTACTCGCTTCATGACCTAAAAAGTCGTCTCATATGGTCACTGCAGTCATATCTGCTCCAACTGTATGCATGTCAGATGTTATACTGCAGAGTTACAGTGTAAACATAGTCGAAGTCGTGGTTCTTTTTCTGCAAGCTGTGTGCGTTATATCTGCTCAGAAGTCGTTCGATATAGTCAATGCGAACTTGTCTGCTTCAATAGTGTCCATGAAGGATGATAGGATAGAGAGGAATAGTGTGCACAACGATGAAGTCGATGTATCCTCATTTGCCTATTGTACCCATTATAATACCTCCGAAGTCGTCTTATACGGTCCTTGCAATCTTCCTTGCATCGACTGTATGCATGTCATATACTAGACTGCAGAGTTACAGTGAAAACATAGTCGAAGTCGAAGTTTCTTGTTGTGCAAGTTGTGTGCGTTTAATCGCTCGGAAGTCATCTCATATGGGCATCGCGAACTCGTCTGCTTCAATGATATCCATGTGAGATGATAGGATAAAGAGATAGAGTGTGCACACCGATGAATTCGGTGTATCTTCATCTGCCTATTGTACTTGCTATATACCCATCAAAGTCGTCTTATATGATCACTATGATCATATCTGCTTCAATTGTATGCATGTCAGATGCTAGACTGCAGAATGACAGTGTGAACATAGCCGACGTCGAAGTTTCTTGTTCTGCAAGCTGTGTGCGTTATACCTGCCTGAAAGTCGTCTTGTATGGTCAATGCGAACTTGTCTGCTTCGATAGTGTCAATGTGAGAGATAGGAGAAAGATATATAGTGTGTACGACGATGAAGTCGATGTATCCCCAATTGCCTGATGTACTCGTTATATTTCCTGTGAAGTCATCTCATACGGTCACTGCCATCAAATCTGCTCAACTGTATGCATGTCAGATGCTAGACTGCAGAGTTACAGTGTCAACATAGCCAAAGTCGAGATTTCTTGTTCTGCAAGCTGTGTGCGTTATTACCGCTTGAGGGTCGTCTTATATGGTCAATGCGAACTCGTCTGCTTCAATAGTGTTCATGTGAGGTGATAGGATAGACATATATAGTGTGTACGACGATGAAGTCGATGTATCCCCATGTGCCTATTCTACTCGTTATATACCCTTCGAAGTCATCTCATACGGTCACTCCCATCGTATCTGCTCCAACTGTATGCATGTCAGATGCTGGACAGCAGAGTCACAGTGTAAACATAGACAGAGTCGGAGTCTCTTGTTCTTCAAGCTGTGTGCGTTATTCCCGCTTGGAATTCATCTCATATGGTCATATGGTCAATGCTTCGATAGTATGAATGTAAGATGGTAAGATAGTAAGATATAGTGTGCACAACGATGAAGTCGATATATCCCCATTTGCCTGTTGTACTCGCTTCATACCCTCAAAAGTCGTCTCATATGGTCACTGCAGTCATATCTGCTCCAACTGTATGCATGTCAGATGTTATACTGCAGAGTCACAGTGTAAAAATAGTCGGAGTCGAGGTTCTTTTTCTGCAAGCTGTTTGCGTTATACCTGCTTAGAAGTCATCAATATGGTCATTGCGAACTTGTCTGCTTCAATTGTGTCCATGAAGGATGATAGGATAGAGAGAAATAGTGTGCACAACGACGAAGTCGATGTATCCTCATTTGCCTATTGTACCCGTTATAATACCTCCGAAGTCGTCTTATACGGTCCCTGCAATCGTTTCTGGATTCACTGTATGCATGTCAGATGCTAGACTGCAGAGGTACTGTTAAAAACATAGTCGAGGTCGAAGTTTCTTGTTCTGCAAGTTGTGTGCGTTATATCCGCTCAGAAGTCGTCTCATATGGGCATTGCGAAGTCGTCTCCTTCAATAGTATCCATGTGAGATGATAGGATAGAAAGCCAGAGTGTGCACGCCGATGAAGTCGATGTATCTTCATCTGCCTATTGTACTTTCTATATACCCTTCAGGGTCGTCTTACATGATGACCGCGATCATATCTGCCTCAACTGTATGCATGTCAGATGCTAGACTGCAGATTTTCTGTGTAAACATAGTCGTAGTCGAAGTTTCTCGTTCTGCAAGTTGTGTGCGTTATTCCTGCTCAGAAGACGTCTCATATGAGCATTGCGAACTCTTTTGCTTCAATAGTATCCATGTGAGACGATAGGATAAAGAGATAGAGTATGCACACTGATGAAGTCGATGTAACTTGAATTGCCTATTGAACTCGTTACATACCCTTCAGAATATTTTATATAGTCACTGCGATCGAATCTGCTTCAACTGTATGCATGTTAGATTTTAGACTGCAGAGTTACTGTGTGAACATAGTCGAAGTCGAAGTTTCTTGTTCTGCGAACTGTATGCGTTATATTTGCTTGGAAGTCGTCTTATATAATCAATGCTTACTTGTCTGCTTTATAAGTGTCCATTTGAGATGATAGGATGGAGAGATATAGTGTGCACAACGATGAAGTCGATGTATCTTCATTTGCCTATTATACCCGTTATAATTCCTGCAATTCCATCTCAAACGGTCACTGCAATCTTTTTTGCATCAACTGTTTGCATGTCAGATACAAGACTGCAGAGTTACAGTGAAAGAAATTGTCGAAGTCGAAATTTTTTGTTCTGCAAGTTGTGTGCGTTATACCCGCTCAGAAGTCGTCTCATATTGGCATTGCGAACTTGTCTGCATCGATAGTATCCATGTGAGATGATAGGATAGGGAGCCAAAGTGTGCACTCCGATGACGGTTCAACTTGAAGGTTCAACTCTAAGTTTGAATTTGAAGGTTGAAATTGAAGGTTGAACTTGGAGTTTAAACTTGAAGTTTGAACTTGGAGGTTGAACTTGAAGGTTCAACTTGAAGGTTGAGCTTGAAGGTTGAACTTGAAGTTGGAACTTGGAGGTTCAACTTGAACGTTTATCTTGAAGTTTGAACTTAGAAGTTGAGATTAAAGGTTCAACTTGAAGTTTGAACTTGTAGATTGAACTCGAAGGTTGAACTTGAAGGTTGAACCTGCAGTTTGAACTTTAAGGTTGAACTTGAAGTTAAACTTGGAGGTTTAACTTGAAGGTTGAACTCAACGATTGAATTTGGAGTTTGAACTTGAAGGTTGAACTTGGGGTTTGAACTTGAAGTTTGAACTTGAAGGTTGAACTTGAAAGTTCAACTTGAAGGTTCAACTTGAAGTTTGAACTTGATGTTCGAACTTGAAATTCGATCTTGAAGGTTCAACTTGAAAGTTCAAATTTGAAGGTTGAACTTGAAGGTTGAACATGAAGTTTGAACTTAGAGGTTGAACTTGAAGGTTGAACTCGAAGTTTGAACCTGAAGTTTGAACTTGAAGTTTGAACTTGAAGTTATACTTGGAGGTTGAACTTGAAGGTTTTACTTGAAGGTTTAACTTGAAGTTCGAACGTCAGGTTGAACTTGAAGGTTTATTTTGGATTTCTAACTTGGAGTTTGTACTCGTAGGTTGAACTCAAAGGTTGAACTTGAAGGTTGAACTTGAGGGTTGAACTTGAAGTTTGAACTTGAAGGCTGAACTTGAAGGTTGAACTTGAAGCTTGTACTAGGAGGTTCAACTTGGAGGTTGTACTAGGAGGTTCAACTTGAAGTTTCAACTTGAAGGTTGAACTTGAAGTTTGAACTCGGAGGTTGAACTTGAAGGTTGAACTTGTAGGTTCAATCCGATAGTTGAATTTGAAGTTTGAACGTGAAGGTTGAACTTGAAGGTTCAACTTGAAGTTTGAACTCGAAGGTTGAACTTGAAGGTTCAACTTGAAAGTTCAACTTGGAGTTTGAGTTTGAAGGTTGAAATTGAAGGTTGAACTTGGAGTTTGAACTTGAAGGTTGAACTTGGAAGTTGAACTCGAAGGTTGAACTTGAAGGTTGAACTTGAAGGTTGAACTTGAAGTTGGATCTTGGAGGTTCAATTTGAACGTTCAACTTGAAGTTTGAACTTGGAGAATGAGATTGAAGGTTCAATTCGAAGGTTCAACTTGAAGTTTGAACTTGTAGTTTGAACTTGAAGGTTGAACTTGAAGGTTGAACCTGCAGTCTGAACTTGAAGGTTGAACTTGAAGTTGAACTTGGAGGTTGAACTTGAAGGTTGAACTCAGAGGTTGAATTTGGAATTTGAACTTGAAGGTTGAACGTGGAGGTTGAACTTGAAGTTTGAACTTGAAGGTTGAACTTGAAGGTTGAACTCAAAGGTTGAATTTGGAGTTCGAACTTGAAGGTTGAACTTGGAGGTTGAACTCAAAGTTTGAACTTGAAGGTTGAACCTGCAGTTTGAACTTGAAGGTTGAAATTGAAGTTGAACTTGGAGAGTGAACTTGAAGGTTGAACTCAAAGGTTGAACTTGGAGTTTGAACTTGAAGGTTGAACTTGGAGGTTGAACTTGAAGTTTGAACTTGGAGGTTGAGATTGAAGGTTCAACTTGAAGGTTCAACTTGAAGTTTGAACTTGTTGGTTGAACTTGAAGGTTGAACTTGAAGGTTGAACCTGCAGTTTGAGCTTGAAGGTTGAACTTGAAGTTGAACTCATAGGTTGAACTTGAAGGTTGAACTTGAAGTTAAACTTATAGGTTGAACTTGAAGGTTGAACTCAAAGGTTGAAGTTGGATCTGCTTGCCATAAGACGATTGATGATTAAGGATAACTATCTGGCTCGAATAAGGCCATGTAGGATTCCGTGAAAGTTCTCACTGTTTCCCTTGAATTGTTGAGTGGACTGCATTGAATTGAGGATCTTGATGATTGAGGTTGGTTGAAGAACACACATGAATTCTGTTATTTCATCGTTATATTCGAATAACACTATATCGACAACTATATGACATCGTTTTCAAGAATAACATTTTTTTTATCGACAAAGAAACAAATGAACAAAATACACAATTTCCGTTGTTAAGAAACAGAGCGGGTACGCCGCCTATTCACAAAATCATGAGACGAGATGATATTGTACATATGGTCAGTGCGATCGTATCTACTTAGCTGTAGGCATGTCAGATTCTAGAATGTGAAGTTACAGTGTAAACAAAGTCGAAGTCGGAGTTTCTTGTTCTGCCTGTTGTGTGAGTAATACCTGCTTCGATGTCGTCTTATATGATCGTTGCGAACTGATATGCTTCGAAAGTATCCATGTGAGATGATAGAATACAGAGATACAGTGTGCAGATTGATGTAGTCGAAGTATCTTCACTTGTCTATTAATCTCGTTATATGTCCTTCAAACTCGTCCTATATGGTCAGTGCGATCGTATCTGTTTCAACTGTAGGCATGTCAGATGCTATAATTTCGAGCCACAGTGGGAACAACGTCAAAGTTTCTTGTTCTCCCTGTTGTATACGTTATTTTGATCCAGGAAAGACTCGACAATGTCTACCTATAAGATGTATAACGAACTTATTATTGAGATTGAAAAATTCGAAGTTTTGGCGAACACGTCCGGTTACCGACTCTGGATTGTTGGAATCGAAGTTCTTGGTGGATATGAAAAAGTACTCCACCCTAGTAACTGCTAGGCTCATTGTACACTTTGGCAATGCATATGGCTGACTGAGGTGGCGTAGTTTCCTGGTGTGTTCTGTGCATGATTACTGGCCCCCTCCATAGATTACAGATGTGGCTATGTGACGTAATCTAACTAGATGACTGGAGTTGTCCTGGACAGCTACCGGACTCGGAATGGCAACATCATTCCAAACGTCAGCTTCTCTCATTTGCAAGGTTTGACTGACTTGGGATGCTGACAGGCTATCACGGCTGACATCCTCGGTTAGCTCATTGATGGTCGTCTCCAAATGTCATCTAGGTCCATTATTCTCGTAGCTCGCATACCTCCGTGGTTCACTTGACTGTAACTCCAGAACACGCTCGCTACCATAGTACCCTATGCCTTTTTTGTACCTCGTCCACTGGTGATGCCCATAGGAACGATTGCATGGTCCACCCTGTATGCGGTGAAACTCAGTCCGACTACATCGGCAAATTATTGCCTCTTCTCGAGTGTGGGACCACATGTGAAACGAAAAAATGAAATTATTGCAGCATAACAAACAAAATTCTAAACATATATAATCAATCTCCTCATCAATCAACTATTCTCGCTAAACTTTATTTACATTTTTACCAATATGAAGAAACAATGTTTGTCTGACTCATCTATGGCTATTTCAATATTTCGTAAAGTTTTTTCAAATTGAAAACTCCTGGGTGATGACATTTACTCCGTGTTATTCGCAATCTGAGTTCAATGTCAATAATATTGACTTCTTCAATTCATAACCTACATTTTCAAATGTTAATAATTTATCTGAGAAAATTCGTTTTCAATAAATCGATACATAGATTATTTTTACCCAGCTTCATTATATTTATAATTCACCAATCAAATATATCTTTTATGTTATTAAGAACATATTTTATATCACCGCTGCATATATTGTTGAAGATTGAACTTGAACCGTATCATGACATCCGATATCATAATAACAACTTGAGTCGAATAATGACCCCATTAATTTAATTTTGTTTGTGAAAAATATACCTGTGTGTATATTATGTCGATTAAAAATAAAATGACTTGTAAGGTCTACATTGCAAACTTGAACTAACTAGTGATTCCTTGTCTGCTTTCTTCGAAAACAAAAACACATAACCATTCTAATAATGATTATTTGATGCCTCTGAATAAAATGCAAAAAAAAAGTGTTCACTCCCATTGTTCCATAAGCGAATGTCTTCAATCGGAGAGGTTACCTTTCAAGTGATACTCGATTCTTATATCTACTCATATAAATAATCTTTGCAAAATAATTGGTGTCTCCAAAATTTCTTCGAAAACGCAACTTTTGATATTCTGAATTTTTGTATCAATTGGTAACAACATTCCGATGTTTGTTAGTGGAATAACGCTAACGTTGAATCTCAAAATATGTGACCATTATTTATCAAATTGTATCGCGATTTTTTTTTCCTTCATTAGCTTCATGAAACAATGTTATCACGTTTCACCTTCATTCAATATACTTACATTAACTATAACTTGATATACCTGTACCTGAACTTATAGTTTTCTGGTGGCTGTCGGAATTTTCTCTACCTGTTTTCAAATTTTTTTTTAATTTTCCCTACTTTTTATTTCCCCAATATTTTCATTGCTTCCATATCTTGTTATTCTCCTGTAGTGTTCATATAATTGATTTCTTCTCCTCTGAAACATACTGAAAATTCGATTATTTTAATGTTACATGACTATTATTTTCCTCAGAAATTATCGATCTGAAAAAAAAACTTGACTTTTCCTTCTCATATTACGTTATCAACATGCTCAATATTCGCTCATCTATCTCTTTTTCGACTTCGACTTTCAATTTTTCACAGTGTACGACATATCTCGTCGCCTTAACGAGGTACTCTCTACTATATAGGTACTCATTTTTTCCAATATACTCAATATTAACTTCATGTGCTATAACTTTGTGCCTTTTCGTCAGCTCTATAGATTTTCTCATCCCTACTCTAATTATTGAATCATTTGTCTAATACCCTATTCTTTCGATATAGCTCAAATATCCCTACAATGTAGAGCATTTTCCTGGATTCCGCGTGATCAAACCTTTGAGCATTCCTGTCTATTGATAGGCCTACTTTAGCACATCACAGCACAACTTCTATTATACAAACCATCATTGTACCTTAACAAACTTCAATACTCCATAAATTCAATACCATCAATCACTTCATAATATCACATAAATTTCTCTTTTTACTCGCTACACAATCCGACTACTCCGGACCATTTCCTGAAACAACTACTCCCCTGGCTATTTCCCCCGACAGGTATTGAATTATACAGGGTGATGGTGCGGTATCCACAGTGACTCTTGCACTGATCAAGTCGTCAGCGAAAGTATCTTTTGACTCATTGGTCAACAACTAAATAACCTCTTTGGGTTCAACAAATCACTCACTTTCATATCATCATCTAGCTAGTGCCCATTTTCGGTATTATTATAGCACAGTATCCCAATATACTGCATATACATTGTCATCAGCGACAATCAAAAACCTTTTTCATAATATTTTCCAGCCGATCATGAGTATTACACATTTTCTTGACTAAACTCCCAACATTTTCAGTCTGAAGAAAAAATTGTTATGCCAGGCGACAGTCACCTATCCTACTGCTATCAAATGATAGTAAAATCTCAACTTATTCGAAGGATACATGTTATACATAAATAAACTAACCTAAATTTCCTCCACCGGAATAAAATATATAGTGAGAATAAATGTGTGTTTCTCCTAGAAAAAATAAACAATTTGATGATTATTCACGTTCATTTTCTAAAGATGAATGATCACAAGAATTCAAATTCAATTTTGTTTCCTCAAATTTTTCAGCTTGGCTTGCGATAAAAGTAAAAAAATTAAGATATTATACTGGTATACTGTATACTAATGGAATTTTAGTCATGAAGGTGATCACGTTGCTTCGAGTAGTGAAATCCTTGTGGAAATCAATATTGAGGGGCATCCTCAATGGTATAAATCGATAACAAATATCTACGAATACCCTCAACGTTCTAGTTCCATCTCTTTCGGAACCAGATAATCTTTTGTGA